GCCTCGGTGTAAAATTAGGGGTTTAAAATAAATATCAGAAACCCATGATATGACGAGGACTAGGAGGCTGATTTCTTCTACTATTTTTTAATAATGGAAGGCTGATAGATTTATAGGCAATTAACTAGCTGGCACCGAAAGTTGCTCGTTGCTTCACACAGGAGTTACTACTGCCTCCCTGAGTTCCTTCTTGAAGAAGGGTGAGAGATAAATTATTAATAATAAATTGAAATAACAGCAACAATAATGATGACAGAGACGAGGAACCTGCAGCCCTGTAGATGCTGCTGGACTATGACTCTGCTGGGAGTTGCCTGCAGGAAAGGAACAGAGAGCAAAAATGACGTACTTTGGCAGACCTTCCAAGTGTCCCTATTTTCCAGGGACAGTCCCAGATTTACAGAAGCCATCCTGGTTTCTGATTTGATCCTGGAATGTCCCTCTTTTCCTTAGGACATCCCTATTTTCTTTGGAGAAATGTTGGAGAGTATGGAATAGGATGTGCTTATTTTCATTGGAGAAATGTTGGAGAGTATGGAGTTATGCGACCCTTGAGCAAAGGAGATGAGTAACTATACAACCTTTAGAAGACATCTGAAGGCAGCCGTGTATAGGGAAGTTTTTTAAATGTTTATGTTTTATCTATGTTGGAGGCCGCCCAGAGTGCTCAGGCAACCCAGTCAGATGGCAGGGTATAAATAATAAACTTATTATTATTATTATTATTGAATAGGACACCCCTATTTTCATCAGAAAAATGTTGGAGGGTCTGCTTCAGCCCATCTAATCCAGCATCCTGTTTTCACAGTGGACATCCTGGTGCCTGCAGGAAACCTGAAAGACAGACCCAAGCCCTTGAGCACTCTCCCCATCTGCGTTTTCAAGCAACTGGTTTTCAGAAGTATGTTGCCTCTGACTGAGGAGGCCAAGCATGGTCATTGTGGCTTGGAGCCATTGATAGCCTTCTCCTCCACGAATTTGCCCAATCCCCTTTTAAAGCCATCCAGATTGGTGGCTTTCTCTGCTTCCTGTGTGAGCAAGTTCCAAAGTGAAGAAATACCGTATTTACTCATATCTAATGCTCACCTTTTTTGGCCAAATTATGTTGCGGAAATTAAGGTGCGCATTAGATTTCATTACATTTTTTTTTGTTGGTTTCAAGGTTCTGAAATTTGAGGCGCACATTAGATTCAATGGCGCATTAGGATCGAGTAAATACGGAACTTTATCTGTCCTGCATCTTTCAGCTTTTAGTTTCTCTGGAGTTCTAGGGTTAAGAGAGAGGGAGAAAACCTTTTCTCTAGCTGCTTTCTCCACACTGTACAATGTTTTAGAAACCTCTATCATATCACTTCTTTCTTGCCTTTTCTCTAACCTAAAAAGTCCCAAATGCTATAACCTTTCCTCATAGGGGAGTTGATCCGTCCCCTTGATCGTTTTGGTACTTGACCAGTACAAAGTCACTTCCTATGTTCCTCTACTAGTACTCCTTTATGTTTTATAGGCCAGTTTTAAATATATCTGAGCAGCAAGGATGGCATAAATGGATAGGTGACCAGATAATGGAAAGCAAATGAGTTCCTCGACAGAAGAAACACAAGATATAAATGCACATAAATAAATAAGACAGCTGGGGTTATGCCACCACCATCCCTCTCCCCTTCAGTGTATTAGGATAAGGCAGCAGAATACCCAGATCTAAAGTGCATCTCCTTGCTTCATCAGAGCTCTGGATAATTGGTATGCCCAACAGTTCTCTCACCGGCAGCCAGTTTTGTAACAGGTGGCCTTTTCGATCCAAGCAATCTCAGAGTGCTTAGTTTAATCTGGGGATAGGCTTAATATTTCTGTATTTTGCAAGCAATATTATCTGGAAAGGTTAAGCCTGTCAATAAATGTATATTTTAAATACAGCTTATATTTTATCCCATATGTTATAGCTACTGGAGCGAGAGGGCCATTTCAGTGCTATTTCCAAAAAAGAAACAAGCATGGGATGTTACAAATATATATATACACAGTTTACAGTTTTACAAAGCAACAGCAGGCATTGCTACTTGTGGGAAATACAGTGGTACCTCAGGTTACAGATGCTTCAGGATACAGACTCCGCTAACCCAGAAATAGTACCTCGGGTTAAGAACTTTGCTTCAGGATGAGAACAGAAATTGCGCGGCGGCAGCAGGAGGCCCCATTAGCTAAAGTGGGACCTCAGGTTAAGAACAGTTTCAGGTTAAGAACAGACCTCCAGAACGAATTAAGTTCTTAACCCGAGATACCACTGTAAAAGTTTCTGCCCTATATGAAAACGGCCAGTGGCTCCAGTTATGGATGACTCATGCATATGCAAAAATGCCACATATTATTACAGTATCAGACCTTATTGGTTGTTCCTCCTTCCCGTGGTTAGCTTCCTTTGAGCGTCTGCTTAACCAGCAAGGAAAACCATGCCTCTTTAATTCCTCTGGGCTCCCTGCTGCCAGCATGAGGCATAACTGAACTGGGTTTGACCAGATTCTTGGATGTGGAAACCCAATTCCGTCTCTCTCTCCCTCCTGCCAGATTTTCCTCTTCACAAATATAGTCAGCCAAAACTGTTATGATAACCCCCAAGGCTGTACTGAGCACTGTAGAAAGAGGGGTTTTTGTGTGTGTGGCTACACACAATCACAAAGCACTGCTTCTCGGGAAATACAAAACATTCAACTGGTGTGTCCATGCCAGATTACTAATGCATGCACCTCCTTCACACAGTGCAGGAGTCCAGGCCATGGTTGGCACAAGGGAAGCAATGATTTGGCCCCAATGTTTGCAATTATCTCGTTAAAAAAGGGGGGAAGGGTGGAATACAAAAGTGTTCCTAAGCCCCACAGCTGGAAATTGCAGGAGCTCTTTTCCCCAGCTGGCACATCCTGAATGCCATTTCACATTAAAGGCACAAGAGAGGTATTCTGGGAAGACAGAGGGTCACAGCCAGAAACTGGATTAGCGGACAGTGCAAAAAATATGCATAAGGTTGAAGAAACTGAGTACGTTTAGCCTGGATAAGTGAAGACTGAGGTGGTGGTGGAGGTGAGAATGACAGCACTCAAATACCCAAAGGGTTGTCCCACTCAAGAAAGCAAATATGGTTAAGACAAGTCTAAAAGGATACAAAATAGACACTCATGGCAAAGTCCCATTTAGTCAGCTGGGAAAGCCTGTCAAAACAAAAATGTATTCAGCTGCTTCCGGAAAGCTCAGATAGTGGGTGCCTTGTTGTATTTCAGCAGGAATGCTATTCCGCACAACAGGGGCAGCCCCACTGCTCTGGGTTACTGAGGAGTGGTCATCTGAGATCTTTGGGACTTGAAGAAAGCCCCCTATACAGTGGTACCTCGGGTTACATACGCTTCAGGTTACATACGCTTCAGGTTACACTCTGCTAACCCAGAAATGGTGCTTCAGGTTAAGAACTTTGCTTCAGGATAAGAACAGAAATCGGGCTCCGGCGGCGTGGCGGCAGCAGGAGGCCCCACTTGCTAAAGTGGTGCTTCAGGTTAAGAACAGTTTCAGGTTAAGAACGGACCTGCGGAACGAATTAAGTATTTAACCCGAGGTACCACTGTACTTCCTTAATGGGCATAAGAGACAGAAAGGTGGGTTTCAGTTGGAAATTAGGAGAAACATCTCAATGATCAGCTCAGCAAAGGAAGCAATTACCTAGTGGTGTGGTGGGCTCTCCCTTGCAGGAGGTTTCAAACAGAGGCTGGTCAGCCATCTGGCAGGGGTGTGCTAGCTCTGGATTTCCGGCACAGAGTAGGACATTGGACTAGATCGCAGCCAGGGAACCTTTGGCAGTGCTCTTGGATGCTCAGGTAGCTGCTGTGCCCAGAAATGCCCTTTACAGAACCTCAGCTGCAAAAACCAGGTCTAGCCACTGTTGATGTATGCCAGGGATGGAGGACCCCTGGAAAGCTTAGGCTTACTGTTGGCACCAATGACAACAAACCCATTGGGATCAGCTGTGCTACAGACTTCCCCACTGAGAACTACACTGATTTGCGGTAAGCACAAATAACCCTTTGCACTGCCAGTTTCAATTCAAGCCTGCAATGCAAAGGACACTCCTCTGCAGGTGCTTGCAAAGGAAAACCTTTACGATGGGTCACCTGGAATTGCTGTGATGTCAAAGTGATTCACAGGTGGGAGTCACTGCCCACCTGTCAAAATGGCCCACAGGGGTTGGAGGAGATTTGGCCCCGATAAGATTACTGCAATGCACCCTATGTGGGGCTGACCCCCACATAAAATAAGGCAGCACGGGCAATTTTTGGCAGGACTCTTAAAGCAGTTGTGCAATGGGGATTCTCTGTTTAAGCCATGGCGAAGGCTGGGTTGTACTTCAGGGCATCAACTGAACTGGAGTACAGCAAATGCAGAGTTGTATTTGTGGTCTGTGTCCCTTTTGTGTGGTAACTGCCCCACCACACATCTCTACAGAACAGGATTCCCTGAGAGTGACCCAAAACATAATGTCAAATCACAGTTTCCCAGAATTTCTCAACCAACAGCCTCTGACAAGCCATGCTTTGTGAGCATCTGCTCAACAAGGCCCTGAAGCCATGGTTTGAAGTTTGTTTGCAATCCATATTTGGGGAAATCAGTGCCAGCACCCTCAACTGACAAACCCTGGTTTGAGACATTGCTCTACCAGGGGATTATTAATCTTGGGAGATTATGAAGAAAGACAGGACGAAAGGTAAAGAGCAGAAACTATGGATTGTATGTCTATGTGGAACACTCAGCATGGTATGGAATCTACTGCTACTGCAAACCATGGTTTGACAGTGCATTTGAACCAGCCCATTAGTGAAATTATGCCCTTCTAATGAGGCGTGTAGGTGTCCCCTTCAGGCTGTTTAAAGTGACAGAGAATCATAGAATTCACAGAATCATAAAGTTGGAAGGGACCCTGAGGATCATCTAGTCCAACCCGCTGCACTGCAGGAATATGCAGTTGTCCCACGGGGGGGATCGAACCTGCAACCTTGGCATTATCAGCACCATGCTCCAACCAACTGAGTTATTTGCAAGACCTGGCTGACATGGCCAGCAGTTCCCTCCTTTGTTACCAGAATGTTGTGCAAAGCCAGATTCTGTTGCTGCATTGGATTGGTGCTGAAAGCTTCTGTTGCTCCTACATGAATTTGGATGGTGGTAAGGATGATTGGATTTTGGGCATCCAGTTGACATTTTCTGAGCATTTCTGTTGAAAGGGGGGCAGAATGTCGGGAATTAATGCAACATGCCAATAACTTTTCACAGTTGTGTGCTATCCCTTTTGCCGGGAGAACTGACCCACTGCTTTTGCATTAGCTTTTGAGCTTTATGTATTGTTTGATAAACGGCTTAATGTTTTCCCCTTTCTGCCCTGCACAAATATGAGTAATCGTGTGCATTGGACGAGACATGAAGGCATATATTTGGGAAAGCAATTTACAGCCTTTTTACATCAATATCTTTTATATTGCACCGTTGTTTATGCATGTTAAGCGTTGCTGCCGTCCCTGGGAATTCCAAGGTGAGCTAGGTTTGTAAATCTAGCCATCCCGTTTTATGAGAGGATGTGTGCTCAAATACTTTCAAGCAATGTTAAGAGCAGCACCTTGTGCCACACACACACAAGCATGTAAATATTGGACATGCAACGTTGTTGTTGTTTAGTCGTTTAGTCGTGTCCGACTCTTCGTGACCCCATGGACCAGAGCACGCCAGGCATTCCTGTCTTCCACTGCCTCCCGCAGTTTGGTCAAACTCATGTTGGTACCTTCGAGAACACTGTCCAACCATCTCGTCTTCTGTCGTCCCCTTCTCCTTGTGCCCTCCATCTTTCCCAACATCAGGGTCTTTCCCATGGAGTCTTCTCTTCTCATGAGGTGGCCAAAGTATTGGAGCCTCAGCTTCACGATCTGTCCTTCCAGTGAGCACTCAGGGCTGATTTCCTTCAGAATGGAGAGGTTTGATCTTCTTGCAGTCCATGGGACTCTCAAAAGTCTCCTCCAGCACCAGAATTCAAAAGCATCAATTCTTCGGCGATCAGCCTTCTTTATGGTCCAGCTCTCACTTCCATACATCACTACTGGGAAAACCATAGCTTTTACTATACGGACCTTTGTTGGCAAGGTGATGTCTCTACTTTGTAAGATGCTGTCTAGGTTTGTCATTGCTTTCCTCTCAAGAAGCAGGCGTCTCTTAATTTCGTGGCTGCTGTCACCATCTGCAGTGATCATGGAGCCCAAGAAAGTAAAATCTCTCACTGCCTCCATTTCTTCCCCTTCTATTTGCCAGGAGGTGATAGGACCAGTGGCCATGATCTTCGTTTTTTTGATGTTGAGCTTCAGACCATATTTTGCGCTCTCCTATTTCACCCTCAATAAAAGGTTCTTTAATTCCTCCTCACTTTCTGCCATCAAGGTTGTGTCTTCTGCATATCTGAGGTTGTTGATATTTCTTCCAGCAATCTTAATTCCGGCTAGGGATTCATCCAGCCCAGCCTTTCGCATGATGAATTCTGCATATAAGTTAAATAAACAGGGAGACAAAATACAGCCTTGTCGTACTCCTTTCCCAATTTTGAACCAATCAGTTGTTCCATATCCAGTTCTAACTGTAGCTTCTTGTCCCACATAGAGATTTCTCAGGAGACAGATGAGGTGATCAGGCACTCCCATTTCTTTAAGAACTTGCCATAGTTTGCTGTGGTCAACACAGTCAAAGGCTTTTGCATAGTCAATGAAGCAGAAGTAGATGTCTTTCTGGAACTCTCTAGCTTTCTCCATAATCCAATCCAATAATCCAATTCCCCTTCATGGATCACTGCCTTGCCGTGGCGAAGGGGCTTGAAGAACTCAGAGAAGCTATGAACTATGCCGAGCAGGGTACCCAAGATGAACAGGTCATAGTGGAGAGTTTTGACCAAACGTGATCCACCTGGAGGAGGAACCGGCAAGCCACTCCAGTATCCCTGCCAAGAAAACTCCATGGACAAAGACAACAGGCAACATTAGTAATATCTATTTTAAACTCTGATCCCCCAAAATGCAGTGCTGTATCATAGGATTGGAGGAAGTCTTACAGACCACCACACATTCAGATGTGGAGAATATTATATTAGTTTTCCCGATTATAATGCTAGTGCTTCTGACCCATTTTCTTATGTTCCATCCTCACTGCAGTAGCTGTCTATGGAACTGTGGCTTTTTGACCGATATACTGGAACGTCATACATGTCCTAAAAACCAATGGACAGGGTGTGACACAACAATTGGAGTCACTGGACAATGTCACTACTCCCCCATTTTTTCTGCACATGTGTGCTTCTGTCCCCCCCCCCCCCCGAATCTCCCAAGAAACAGCAGGGAAGAATCGTATGCCAGTAAAACACCCCAAATTTTGTCCCTCTGTTCCAGCAATTTTCTGGGTTAAGCAGCTGCAAATATTTTTTTTTCTGGAATCAAATAACATGGAAATAAACTCCAACCATGCGCTATATTCCATTAGTTCTCCAGAAGTGGCTTTGATGTCATGTGGAAGCTCACATGCCACGCACAAATGGAGAAACTGAATAAACTGCCTGGTGAAGCAGTCCAAATCCAGCCTTCTGCTTACTTCATGAAATCCAAAACTAAAAATGCTCTTGTCCCCAGCCTCCACTTGAAGAACTCCTGCAAGTCCTTGGTTCCATCACCTAACTGAAGAGGTGCCAACCTTTATGGACCAGTGGGAAGATTTCAAATTTTGAGAGAGTCCTGTGGATGCCAATCAGAAAGCAGCTGCGATGGGAGTGTGGCCTAACACAACATGGCTGCCATGGAGGGCATGCCTTCACTCAAAATTAGAGAGCAGCTTTCCCCATACAGTGGTACCTCGGGTTAAGTACTTAATTCGTTCCGGAGGTCCATTCTTAACCTGAAACTGTTCTTAACCTGAAGCACCACTTTAGCTAATGGGGCCTCCCACTGCTGCCGCGCCGCCAGAGTACGATTTCTGTTCTCATCCTGAAGCAAAGTTCTTAACCCGAGGTACTATTTCTGGGTTAGTGGAGTCTGTAACCTGAAGCGTATGTAACCTGAAGCGTATGTAACCTGAGGTACCACTGTAATTGCATTTCCATACTAGAAAATGCTTAACCTGTGGAATTTGTCTGCCATACAGCTGCTTAAGGCACAAGAATCAGAGCTTTTTTCCAGCCAGAACTTGCCGGAACTCAGTCCCGGCACCTCTCAGGTGGGTTCCATTGCCATAATAAGAGAACAAGGGAGGTGTTCATGGTGAATTCTGGCACCTCTTTCTCTAGAAAACTAGCACTGACAAGAACACAGTTTTCCTCCCACACCAACCCATTGCCATCCTGTATCCACTAACCTGGGAGGAAGCCCCATTAAACACAGAGACTCATTTATGAGCAGACGTGTACACCATTGTACTATAAATTAACTGTACAGTACGGTGAATTCTTAACGAGTGTCTGGCTTTCAACTGCTGTTTAAGCCTCTTGGCAAAGTTTTCAAATTTGCCTTTTGGGGGGAATGGGCTTCTCCATCCACCCTCACTTATCGCAAAGCAGCATTTGCAGGAAACAACTTCTAGGGACCACCTGATCTCAGTCGAAGCCACCACAGGAAAGCTGCATCCTAAGTGCGAGGGGAAAAGGAAGGGCAACCAGAAAGAGGAAAAGTGCACAAAAGAAGAGGGGGGAAAAGCAGACCTTTGGGACACCAGGGATTCCTATTGCCTGGCATCCAAACAACTCACTGGAAGTAGCTTTCCTTAGCCGAATTATCTTTGCACTTTTTGGGGGGCTTGGGGGAGGAGAGGAACTACACATGCAGCTCATAACAGGACTGAATAAACTTAATACCAGCCACATGTAAAATTGGCACAGCCTGAATTGAGCCTGATCCATCCATCCCTAGCGGCACGTGCAGCCAAAAGGCTCATTCCCCTCTTGGCTTATTAAGCTGATTGTCCAGACACGGTCAGTAGCAGCGCCAACGATTTTGAGTGCTCCACGAGGCTCTATTGCTCGCAATACTCAGCGTTTGGCATTTAAAAGGGTGAGGGAGAGTCACAATCCATCTTCATAGCTTAGTCACCTAATTGGCTGCTGAGAGTTGGCTGTCTCCCTGCCTTTTCTTCTCCCTTTCTACTTTCCTGCTTATGAATTGTCCAAAAGGCACTTTAAGTGAAATTGGATAGGCTGCAAAGTGTTGGTTTCATCTGTTTTTGCGTGTGCGTTTGTTTTGTTTGCAGTTTAATCAGTATGATCCAGATGCCCGTGCGAGGAAACCGGAGCTCGATTTTTAATTATCTCTACTTTGCCTGAGTTAGGAATTCCCGGTAGTGCTGTCTGCAAAAAAGATGCCAAAACCCGCATTGTTCTTTAATTAGCTGTTGTAATTGTTTCAGCCTAATCTCCGTGATTAGCAGCAGCATTAAATACAGCAGTAAGAATAGACCTGCTCTCTTTGTGCTGCCCTGGTAAGCACACGCCTTCTCCCTTCTGGTAAGGGACATAATATAAAATCAATTAGGATGCCAACCGGCCTTTGATTGGAAAAATGATTAAGACCAGCTACCATGAAGTGCAGATGGCTTTGTGGGGTTGCTTTATGGGCACCCCTCCACCACCGGGGTGGCTTTATAGCCTTGGGATTTGTGGGCTGGAACAAGAAGGAAGCATGCAGAGGTCTCTTATGATATTTCCTTCCTCCATACAGGTTGGAGCAAAAGGCAGAGGAAGCCCACCATTGTCGAAGGCAGTCTACCTGTGAATGTGAGTAGCTGGAAACCACAGGAGGGGAGAGGGCTGTTGCTTGTGGGCTTCCCAAAGGCATCTGGTTGGCCACAGTGAGAATGGGATGCTAGACTAGATGGGATACTGACCTGACACAAGAGACTCTTCTTAGGTTCTTAAGGTTGATGGGGAAGGGAGAGCTGGGTCACATCACTGGCCCAACCCTTTGACTTCAGCACCACTGGAATAGGCAACTCCATGTGATCTGGAGCCCTGATTGCACAGAGGAGGCTGCACAAATACAATTCAGACCTTCACCAAAGGATGGACCTCCAGCCAGGCATGGAGCTGGTGGATCGGATGGAGTGGTGGATACAGTCATTTGTAAAAGAAGACACTAACCGATGGCTAAATATTGCACTGTACGTATGTAAAAATCTATCACAGCCCCCCGTCTCCTTCTTAGTCCAATATCTGCAAGTGATGAAGCAGAAGCTTGCTTACAAGAGCTTCCATTATAATAAACCAATTAGCTAAAGCCCTCGTTGACCTGAAGCGTGTGTGTTGACCCCAGAACGCCCACACTGGTGCCATCTCGTTGGAAGCTGCCAATATCCCCTTCTGAAGCTTAGGGCAGAGATGGGTAGGCATTAGGCTTGCAGGATTCACCTTGCTACTTGCTAGAAACTGCAGATTAGGGGTGCGTGGATCTGTCTATTTTCATTTCTTGTTTCCCCAAACTTAATTTCAGTTCTGCACACTTCCACACCAGCTTGTGATTTTTTTTTTAAAGTTCTCATGAAATTTCATCAATATTGCCATAAGAATTTCTTCCAGAATATACAGTTGTATGCAATTTTGTCTAAAATACACATTTTAAAATTTTTTTTACACAGCAATTTCCCCAAATGTAACGTATTTCCAAGCTCAGGCACCCTATATCTGCACTTTCTGGAAACAAGTGAAGACAGTTCACATTGTCTCCATATGCAGACAAAAATATATGGACAGTGGCATTAATGGAAAAGTTCACTAAACACCTGAAAGCCCTGAGGGGTAAACAAAATGCAGATGACTTTATAAAAACTTGGTATCCCTTTACTATTTTTCAACAGACAATTCTGCAGTGCGGCATCTTCAGCACACACACCTGCAGCTCTGGAACAACATCTTCCATTAAAAACACTGCTCCGTTCCCGTGTCAGGGAGAGAGATGGAGGGATTACAGGGAAATGCTATTGTAACTTGTGACGTGTATCTTCTTAGCTGTATAATTTCAAAAAACGAAATAAAAATATTTATATTAAAAAAGGACATTTTGTTCAAACAGGCTTTTATCAAGCTAGATAAATGGGACTTAGTCGAAAGGGTCTGCTTTGTATGGATTTAATATTGTGTTAGTTGTTGTTGTTGTTTAATCTCAAGGCTTCATTATGAAGTTTAAACAGCCCTCCAGTAATAAAATGAAAAAGAAAAGAAAAAGTATAAAACAACAACAAAAACAGAGTTCACAGCCCAAACTGCATCTTCTGCCAATTTCTGATGAGCGAAATACAGACTTCATATGCAAACCGCTTGTCATTTTTCTATCAGTAGCTGCCCCTTTGATCATATCACAGGGAGTCCTAGGGTTTGTCTTTAAATATCTGGTTCCACAAAGTAATGTTTATTCTAATTCCTGGGGAAAAAACCCTGACTTATAAATTAAGAGTATCTCTGGATGCAGCTGAACCTATGGAGTTTGCCTCCATTTGTCGGCCATTTGTTACCTTTATGATAGGTCTATTATGGAGATAGAAAGTCCCAATGAAATACGGCTTTATTTTTGTATTCATAGCATTTATTTTGTTCTTTTTCTGTATCGGGTCAGTTTTTGTTGTTAACATTCAATTCAGCATGTAGTCTCTTGAGAATGTACTTTATTTTATGAGGTAATGGCTGTTTTTGTTTTTTAACCGCTTCTAATAATCTAATGTGTAAATTGCCTCATGACTGTTGCTTGGAAGGCAATTAAGGAAACGACAATAATCGTGGTAACAAGAGCTTAACCCCACAGCTCCTTGGGTGGAAACGGTGACTTCCACCCTCTCCAACGGCTGCAGAGAGGATGCCAGTTCTGAGGCTTTGCCTCCAAGAAAACAACTCCAAGCCACATGTCCTTGTGAGGCTGCGACACAAGCAACTTGCCAAAGGTCACATTAAAAAGTCGCCATTCGAAGCAGGATTTAGACGGCACCCTGGATCGCAAGTCGAAATAAGATGATAATGCTCCCAGTTTAATATCATTCTGACAGTTTTAAAAGGTCAAACTGTGAAGAATGCTGTATGTGCTCAAACTCTTTGATTGGGATAAATGAATTTTTTTTTATTAAAAAAATAAATGTGGTGGATGGCCGGGGGGGAGGGAGGGGGGGAGAAGACTTCTGCCAGTCATCAGTTTGATGCCAAAAATAAAAGGTGGCGACCTCCATTTCTTCCAGCTCTCAAATGACACGTTTCTGGGTTTTCAAAGTCAAAAGAAAAAGGCAGCTTTGAAAGGTTACCATGAAGCCGATCTGGAGCTTACTGATAAAACTTAATTGATTTGTTGCCGCTTTATTATCAAGATTTGAGGTATCAGCTTTCTATAAAGTTATTTTCAGGTTCTACAGAAGTAGGGGCTATGTAACTTTGAAAGTTTACACGACCCACAGCTGTCCTATTAGGGTGCGTACATACTATTCATTTGAAAAGCATGACTTCTGCCAAAGAATCCTGGGAACTGTGGTTAATCCCCCACAGAGCTATAACTCACAGTACCCTGAACAAACTACAATTCCCATGGTTCTTTGGGGCAAGTCCTGCATGCAGCCTTCTTGAGCTTCGGCCATGGTTCAAATGTTTCCTTGGCTATAAAGATTTTGCGTGGACAGGAGGAGTCTCCCCAACCCCAGGCAACCCCCGAGTGGAATAATGACTCAAGACAACGTGCTATGGGATTAAAATTGGCCACAACTTTATTAAGTTTCAGATGTAGGGAGAACCTGGCTCAGGCATTGGGCATTTATCTTTCCCAGTCCCCAGCCGGGGCTCTGGGAGACATCAGGGTTATCCAGAATGTGTGGGGATTGGGCTGGTTCTGGAGAACCTATGTTTTGCCACCGTTTTGCCACCATCGCAGGGGAGAGCAATGACAACCTCTTGGTGTATGGCCAATGCCTCCCCTCAAGACCCCTTTAACAGGGAACCCTGGGATCACTGCCGCAAGGGGGGGGTCACCGCTTTATGCCCCCCCTTTAGGAAGATAGTCTAAAGGATTCCGCCCAAGGCCTGAAACTGCCAAAGTTGTGATGTTTTGCTACGGGAAAGGCAAAACCTGCCAATGCAGGAAAATTCCTTTCCGACCCTTCAACAGCGACCATGATGTAGCAGCGCCCGCGTACCTGTGGAGAAGAGGCTAACCTAAACCATGGATAGGGAACTGTGGCCCTCCTGATGTTGCAGGACTATAACTTCTGTCATCCCTGAACCACACAGCCCACCTGCTGGTTGATATGAGTCAGCTGTTGTTGGGGTCTGCCTACGGCGCAAACTGATTCTGGTAGGCTCCACCACCTGACTACTGGCAGAGGGTGCTGTGGCCCATCAGCCCCTGAACTGGATTTCTGATCCAAGATCCCTTAAGAGATCAGGAAGGGCACTCCTCCTCACTAATGTTGCAGCCTAATGCCTCTTCTGCCAATGAAACGTTGTGAAGATTGCTATAACATACCCAGCGTGCACACTGATTGGCTCCTAAGTTCCCGCACAAATTCTCAGTCTCACATGCAAATGCAAAGCATTTCCTGCCATATGGGAGACTGAGACGCTGGCTGCTCTCTCCCTCCACTGCTGGGTGGCAAAGGCCAATCCCTGGGAACATGGAATTATAAACTGATTGATGTGGTTGACTTTACTGATTATTATACTGAGTAATATTTCAAAAAATAATTTCTTTTACCAGATATCAGTGTCTTGATATTTATGTCTACAGTCTTATTATTATGAACAGTTTCAGTTTATTCCATTGTTCTGTGTATATTGTGGTGTAATTGTTTCACAGGCTGATGTGTTCATTGCTGTTACACGTTTGTCAGTTTTGATGAAAATTGCCTTGAGCATAATAATAAAAATGGAAAGGGAGAATATTTATGAAACTGACATTAATAAGACTTCTGGAAGCATCAACGAGTTGGGAGTTAATACTATATCATTGTAAGATTTTCCAGTAAATCCAATTTATTAGTCTAATAGTACAAACTGCATGGTTAACTGCTGCCTTTCACTCATCCACCCACACCCCTTGCTGGCAACATATTCTAGATCAGCAATGGCCTGATAATCACTAACTCATCTGGAGAGTAGATAATGGAAGACCTAAAGGAAAGCCATCAACTGATTTGATTTTTTCTTGCATTTACTTTGAAGAACATGGGAAGCTGCCAGATACATACAAAGCCAGACTACTGGTCTATCTACCTCCGTACAATCTATACCTGTGTTTCCCAAACTTGGGTCTCCAGGTTTTTTTGGATTACAACTCCCATCATCCCTAGCTAGCAGGACCAGTGGTCGGGGATGATGGGAACTATAGTCCAAAATTGGCTGGATACCCAAGTTTGGGAAATCCTGGTCTACACTGATTGACAGTGGCTCTGCAGGGTTACAGACAGAGATTTTCCCAGCCCTACCAGGAGATGCTGGGACTGAACCAGGGACCTTCTGCATGCAAGGCAGATGCACCACCACTGTGCAACAACCCTTTGCCCCAAACATGGCCAACAGCAAACTAAAGCTGGTGGACAACTAGCAATGTCCCATGATGCTCTTATCCTGAAATTGCTGCTCACAAGTATTGGACATACAGATTATAAGAGGAGTTATGAAATCAGATTTCTTTTTATCCACCCTTCCTTTCCAGTCCTTTAGCACAGGGGCAGCCAATGCCCTTCAAGTGCTGTTGGACTGTGACACTCATCATGGCATCACAGAATTGTAGAGTTGGAAGGGACCCAAACGGTCATCTTTGTGCAATGCCCTGCAATGCAGCCAAAACAGCTAAACAATCCCTGTCAGGTAGCCATCCAACCTCTGCTTAAAAACCTCCAAGGAAGGAGAGCCCACCACCTTCCAAGATAGTCCATTCCACTGTCAACAGCTCTTACCATCAGAAAGCTCTTCTTGATGTTTAGTCAGAATCACCTTTCTTGTGATTTGAATCCAGTGGTTTGGGTTCTACCCTCTGGAACAGCAGAAAACAAGCTTGCTCCATCTCCATGTGACAGCCCTTTAGGTATTTGAAGATGGCTTTCATATCACCTCTTGGTCTCCTCTTATCCAGGCTAAACATACCCAGCTCCCTCAACTGTTCCTGATAAGGTTTGGTTTCCAGACCCTTGGTCATCTTGGTTGCCCTCATCTACACACATTCCAGCTTGTCAACATCCTTCTTAAAACTCTGGTACCCAGAACTGGAATCAGGACTCCAAGTGATACTATTACTTCCCTTGATCTGGTACACAAAACCATTAGCTTTTTTTCACTGTTGCATCACTGTTGACTCATGTCAAACACTAAGACCCCTAGGTCCTTTTCACCTGAACTCCTGCCACACCAGGTGTCCCCCATCCTATATTTATGCATCGCAGCCGACCACTGCTGATACTGCCTGGGGATGATGGGAGTTGGAGTCCAACAATATCTAGAAGGCATCATGTTTACTATTCCTGGCTTAGTACCACCATTATTCCTCAAACTTCTGCAGCCAGAGGTAATAGGGCTTTACAACCTTTCAAGAATCAGTTGCATTCAGAGCATGGACAATAGCCCTGGCTGAAAAGCTGACGTGCCAGATTCGTGAGACCAAAGGGAATTCTAACCCCCATCTTTGCTATAATGTGTGGCAAACATTTTTGGATTATATGCATCAAGAACATTGTGTTTATAACCTCCTGAGATCTCATGGCAATATGTAGGGGGGGAAACTGGAGTGAACTGTAAGAATTTGATACAATATTTTAAAGCAAAGTGGTTGATGTGTTGTGCAATATGGTGTTTTGTGTGTGATGTGGAAAATTAATAGATTTACATTAGATATTGCTACACGCACACAAACACACAAAAAATCAGCTGCATCGAACATTTCAAACCTGCTATGTGCTCTTCTTTTCAAAACATACACACATGGGAGTAAGTGCAATAGTTTAATTCAGAACCTAATGCAGAGTTTGCTTGACAGCCATGGGAGATTTCCTCCTCCGTACTTTCTGCTGCCAGCTTTGAACATGAGAAATATGGCTTCAGAAAAGAAGAAGAAAATGCAGCAAAAACCAAATCTTTTTGCCTCCGATGATCATCTCTCTTGATGCTCAAACTCTGGCCCTTTCACAACATGCAAAACACGATCATTTGAGTTTTGTCTCCCCGGTAAGCCCTCCTTGATCTCAGTTCCTGCTTTTGAACTGCTTTGACTCGGTCTCAGCACCGCAAGGTACAAAGACGGCGCACATGAAAAGCTGTTTCCCGGCCCCCGTAATAGATCTCAAATAAAAGAGACTAGCAAAACAGTTGGCAGAGAAGTCACGGCTCGGAAACACACCCAGCAATTCCCCCATTTGCTCTTATCCATATGTAGAACCACACACTTAATCTCTATCTTAATTATTTAAGAACAGGTGTGCATGTATGAGTGTATAAGCACAGTTTCATCTGCCTGCTGGAAATATTTATGTCCTCCTGGAAAAAAAGTGTGTGTGGGGGGGGACCACAGAGTCTTTGAAAGCCAGCTGGCATTCGCCTTGGCACTCACTTAGCAAGGAATTAATACGCATGAAGGCTGAACTACATTCGGGTTGGGGAAGGCAAATTAGAAGGGCAGATGCCAAAGACATTTTATACACGCTCTGTGGCTAAATGGAAAACCACAGGCCTCAGGCTTGGCAATTCCTGACTTTTAAAATGCTTGATGTCTACTGTAGTCAACTGTATGCATGCACACATACATGCGCACACTACCTAGCTGTGTTCAGGGAGGAACTGAGGCAGGAAAGATTTACCAATCTCGGTGAGATTGGGTGCCATTTTGGCTCCCTTTCCCCAAACCACCACCATTAGCAATCATGTGACCAATTGGATAACTGGCATTTTTTACAGTTGCCACATGACTTTTGTTCCACGCTTCCAAGGAATCCAAGCTACAGTGTGGCAGCAGGACCTACTCTCTGGAATTCCCTGCCCATTGATCTCACTACACGCATTTTTGCACACATTTATTGGGCTGGAGAACAGCATTGGAAAATGCAAATAATTTCCTGTTTTGAAGGATGCTTGCATTGTACTGTTCCAGAAAGTGTGAATTATTAGGCAGGTTCACTGTTATATTCAAATTAAATTGAATTTGTCCCCCATTCCTAAGAGGCATGCTGCTCTTACCCCCCCCTTTTTTGTTTCTAAAGTAGGTTTACACTGCCTTGAATCATGTTCTCAGGGTAGTTTAAACAAAATGAATAAAATGATTAACAACAACGCACACACTACACCCACTGATGACAAAATAAACTGAGGTCACAAAATCACAAAAGTAGCATCGGCAGAATCACTTGGCAGAACTGAAATCACATCTAAAAAGCTTTGGAAAGGTCTTTGCCCGGTAGTAGCGCTGGTTGTTTTTACTCAATGATGAGGTAAAGTTGTGGTAGACACCACTCCCACCAGTACACTTTTTAAAAGCCATTCTATGCACAAGCTGCAACCATCCTCTTCCCTCTTCAACAGGCGGCTATGAAATAGCCACAGAAAACCACATAAGCCAAGTTCCCTTTAACAACCTCTAAAACCTACTGCCCATGGGCAAAAGGTGAAGCAGTTTAACAACAGCTTCATTGTGGACTGTAGCAGGCACTCAGCTTCCATGAGCTGCTGCTGTGACATCACAGCAGCTAAGCCAATGGCATAAAAAGAAGATCTGTCAATAAGAGTTAAAGGTTGTAGGCAACTCAGAGAAGATCTGCTGAAATTAAGTTTGTGAAGGCCACTAATTTCAATGGGTCTACTCTCAGTAGGACTAGCTTTGGATACCACGCTAAGAGATCAGGAGGCAAGGGCAGAAATACTTATTCTAGCTGCCAACGATATCAGACACACTTGAGGCAAACGGATTAAATGTGTGCCATCTCGATGCATCCCTGTCACCAAGATAATTGTCACCCCCCCAATCAAAGAAATGAAGAAGGGAATTTAATGACACCATCACACAAAGGGCTGCAAATATATGACTCAGTCATTTATGGAAGCCTGATGAAATTGTTTTGTTGTTTATAGAGTTTGTATGGATGGTTTTATTGTTTCAGAGTTTGCTGAACTGATTTTATTATGCCTAGAGCTTGTGTGTCTGTCTTGTACTCTGTTTTCCCCACTCTTACCCACTTCAATGGCTTTATGGTGCAAAGTGGTCCAAAATTTTGTTTAATAAATAATAAATAATAAATAAACTGAACTTGTCTCTCACTTCCCATCGTGGTGACCTTAAAAGCAACGTCTGACACACGATGCATTTTTTTACACTGAAGGTGAAAATCTGAAAAGAGACGCCATTGTCTTCCTTCCCAACGTGCCATCTGTCTGGGAGGATGAGCAAAGAAATAAAGAGACGATACAGAAAGTGCGGTACAAATAGGTTGCTTCACCTCCAAGGTGGGAATGACATCCTTAGAACTGACAAAATGTACACTTTTCAACAAGGCACAGTCGAGATGTAATGACAGGCGACATCCTGGCTTTGCTGGCTTTCAAAGGAAGGGCATGCCAGAACATCCCAGAATTTGAATAAAGACTTTAAGAAGAGGACATGATAATAAAGAACTAACCTGGGTTTCCAAGCCTTTGTAAGGATTGAGAGGCTGATCCTGCAAGAAGAACACAGAAGAATAAATGGATTATTTCAAAGAGGCCAATTGCAAGTAGACATACCTATTATTATTATTATTATTATTATTATTATTATTATTATTTATTAATATTCATAGTATTCAGGGGGTTTTTTAGTCCACAAACATTACATAAGCCAATACATTATTTTTCTGCTTTGTTTTTGACATTTCCCTTTCATTGAAATTCACTAAAATTAATTATCTAATTAACTGTGTAAGTTTTGGTTGCAGCAAATAGCAAGACAAAAAAGAAGAAGAAGAAAAAAGATTTCATTGGAAGCCGAACTGTAGCAGAATAGAAACAGTGCTGATTGCCATGAATCCAGAACAGGATGGAAATCGCTGCCTCCTTACATTCCTGAGGATAAGCTGGAGCTCCTTCGGTCCCAGAACTGGGATCAAGAGCAGCTCTAAATCCCTGTCCTCTGGCTCAAGAGGAGGCTGAAAATGTTCTGGTGGTCTCCTCACTGCATAGCGTAAGGCAGTTTCCATTCAATGGTGTGATGCGGAAGGGGAGCAAGTGCCTGCCCCACCCCTTAATGTCCTCAGACATAATTTCCAGCAGGACTGAAATGTTCAGCTCCAAGTTTTTATCTCAGTCAATGTATGTCAGAAATAATCCAAGAACAAAGGGTTGTATCCAATGCTAGTACAGTGGTATCTTGGGTTAAGTACTTAATTTGTTCCGGAGGTCTGTTCTTAACCTGAAACTGTTTTCTTAAACTGAAGCACCACTTTAGCTAATGGGGCCTCCTGCTGCCACCGCGCCGCCGGAGCACGATTTCTGTTCTCATCCTGAAGCAAAGTTCTTAACCCGAGGTACTATTTCTGGGTTAGCGGAGTCTGTAACCTGAAGCGTATGTAACCTGAAGTGTATGTAACCCGAGGTACCACTGTACTACTCTGCGTACTAGCCACTATGACCATGTTTTCCAGAACTCAAATTCTGGGAAGAAGATGGGAATTTAAGAACCCTGCCCCCTCCCCAAGCTCAATGAGATTTTTCTTTTTTTTAAGGAAAATAGTTGTGTGGTTTGTTTGTTTGTTAAGTACAAAAGAAACATGCACACTTCTGCAAAACATCTGTGCTTGATGGCTGCAGATATTCCTGCAGACTCTTTTTCTATCGCACCCCTGCTTAATTGGAAAGCTTAACGAAGTGAAACCAGGTCAATGATGCTCTCTCTTTCATCCATCACGCCTGTCGGAATTAGAAGGCTTCTGTTTACAGTTGGTTCCTGCTTGTCACTTCATGGGGGGTGGGGGCTCACCCCCACTCCCTCCGAGATGAAGAATTCTAACCATCTTGGTTATTGTAGCTACCTGCAAATCTACTCCTGAAGAGCCGCCGGCAAAATAGCAACAGGTAACTGTCATGCTCCTCTTCCTCTTTACGAACCTGATGAGGCATGGCTTTATAGCTGCACGATTCCATGCTAAAAGAAACATTAATAATTCTGGGAAGCAACTTTCGTATTCATCTAGTGAGGACAGGAAGCTGATCTATCTGGGTCCTCGGTATTGTCTATGCCTATTGGCAGCAATTTTCAGACAGGAGTCTCCCCCAGCTATACAGTGGTACCTCGGGTTAAGTACTTAATTCGTTCTGGAGGTCCGTTCTTAACCTGAAACTGTTATTAACCTGAAGCACCACTTAGCTAATGGGGCCTCCTGCTGCCGCTGCACCGCCGGAGCACGATTTCTGTTCTCATCCTGAAGCAAAGTTCTTAACCTGAAGCACTATTTCTCGGTTAGCGGAGTCTGTAACCTGAAGCGTATGTAACCTGAAGCGTACGTAACCTGAGGTACCACTGTACTTCTTGGAGGTTGAACATGGGACATTCTGCATACAAAATCTGCATTCTACCACTGAGCTGTGTCCTGTCCTCCAATGACCAGTGGCTGCTTTCGGTACTCGGGAAATTGCATCATACCAAGTGAGGCCACTGGGCCATCTAGCTGGGAGCTGCCTAAACTGACTGTCAGCTCTGCCATGACAAGGGTTGGACTACACGCCCCCAGCAGCCCATTCCAGCTCTTTATGATTCTTTGATTGATGCGTCTTGCTTAGCAAAGCTACAGGGATGCAGTGACAAAGCTGAACAGGGACATCTGCACTGCCAGGTAAGACCCAGAAGGTTAGCAGCTCAATGGCAGAACATCTGCTTTGCACGTAGAAGGTCCCAGGTTCAGTCTCTGGCATCTCCAGGTAGGGCTGGAAGACAACCTTGTCTGAATTCCTATTAAGTCCTTGCCAGTCAAGCTACATGGAACTGAGATAAACAGGTCTGACTCAGTCTGAGGCAGCTTCTGATGTCCTCTTCTAAGGTCACTTTCCTGGAAGAGGGCATTGAAAGAGTTTTAGGAAGAAGCCATATCAGTAGAGAGAAGGGTAGTCCTCGAGATAAGCTGGGTGGAAGGGAGAAGGGGAGCACTGAGCATCTTCCAAGCACTTCCATGCAGTGCTCTGGGATGGCAAGAGGGTCCCCATCTCCAAGACTGCTGGTTGAACGCCAGTTGAAGTCCCAACATAAATACGGCACTGGCCCTTACATGTTACAAGAAAAGCTACTTCAAAGAAATCACTCACATTTTGGCTACTGCCATTACCAGGACTAGTGTCGAAGCTGGCACTGCTGGCTACCTGCAGAGGGCCCATTATTGTCCCTGGATGTCTTGCCACTCAACTCCTCCATCATCTCTTAGCATGTTCCTCTCTCCAGACAAATGTGAAGAGCAGGAGTGGGGAACCTCAGGCTCTCAAAACTCCCCTCAGGCCACACCTCCTCTCCCCAAACCACTTCCCTCACAAGTCCTCCTTCACACCCTCCTTGAGTGTTTTTGCCTGGCTGGAATATGAATGTTGCTCTCTCTGGCTGGTGGTATGGACTTGGACCAGAGGGAAGGGGGGCAATAAAATGGGTAGTGAGGAGGAAATGAGCCCACTCAGGTAGGGGCTTCCAGTTTGGGCATCTTGCCCAAGGGTCCCCAAAACCTGGGTCCTGGCAATGGGCATTGTGACTACTGGCCAACCATTCTATTGTCTGGCAGATGGGTGGTTAAGCTGTCCAGAATGACTTTGTTCAGGCCCTGTTAACAGCTAAGGAAGGCAACATGAAAGGAAGAGGGGGGCAAGCTCCAGGTGCACCCAAACTGTATTCCAAAGAGACAGAAAACAATTATATACTTAGTTCCTGGCACCAAACTCGTCTGTCAAAAGGAGGAATAATTAAACTATTCACTGCACTGGGTATCACCGTTACATTATTATGATAAAGTTGTCAGAAACTATTCATCGCTAATTTGATTTTGAACTCGGAGCCAAGGAAGACTTATGCTATAAGCTACACGGAACTCTGCATGGCTTCCAAAAGCAATCAAAAGCTCAACTCATGAAACAGAATTGCTGCTACTTTCTCAACACAGCCTGTCAATTAGAAAATTCTGGGCCCCTCTGAATGCTTGGCGTTTCTTACCCAGTTTGGGAGCCTGTTTATGGACCTATAAATGGACTTTGACTAGGTTACCTGAAGAGCTGCCTGCATACATGGACAGCAGCTTGGGCCCCAATGCCCTCGAAGGGCCCATGGGTGGCCCCTGCCCTGGACCCTTAAAAAAGGATAATGGGAGTTGTAGTTCAACAACAGCTGGAGGGCCAAAGGTTCCTCACACCTGCTGCAGAGGTTTTTCCAGTAACATTTCCGGTTAGAAACTGATAACCTTCGCATCAAACACCAGCCCTGGACCACAGAGCTTAAGAGAATAGACCACAACAGCTTCTATTCTACAATTAAGGGTGCTATCCAATTAACAAAAGTGAAGATTTATATATACACACACACACACACACACACACACACAACAAACAGAATTTAAGCTGCTAAGAAGGAGGGAGAAAGAAAAGTCAAACATCATGGAGCCTGTAGACCATATTGTGTGGTCTCGCTCCCCAGGGTTCCACCATTACGACCTTGGCATGCAATAATGTTTCTTAAGTGTTAGCTTAACATGCTGTGAGATAATGGAATTCTAGGAGAGAGCAATGAAAATAGGTGGAAGCAAAGCTTGGGTTTGCTGCCAGAAAGTTTTGATGTCCCGGGGAGCCTTGGAGCCTGTCCAAAACAGAACAGAGATGCAGAACTGCTGACTGAACAGAAGATATATGAGTGTGTGTGTGTGTGTGCATGCACAAATACCCTCGTGCATGTGCAAATACACAGAATAACTGAAAAGATTAATCTGAAACAAAAGCAAAACACACACACCTCATATTTGAGACTCAGGTTCAAATCTCCATTCAGCCATGAAGTTCTTGGGCTGACCTTGGACCAGTTACTATACCACACTTGGCAAAAACAGTCAGTGGTAGGGCGGGATGAGTTCTTGAAGACTGAAAAAAGAGTCCATGTGAAGTTGTCACCTGATATCATGGTGATATCAGGTGGGCAACCCTGCCCACCTAAGAAAAATGGCTGGTGGAGGGTGGGACAGATCTTCACCAGGTTCAATAATGTTCCCCACCCCTGTTATACCTGCCTGGGGTCTCAGGCAGAGGTCTTTCCAGAACCTGCCACCTAATTCTTTCAACTGGAGATGCCATGGATTGAACCTGGAATCTTCTGCATCTGCTCTACCACTGAGCTTTGGGGGACTTTTTAATCACATAAAAGGTGAGTAAGAGAGGACACGATAAGAGTGTATGAAGATGGTAAGCATGTGGATAAATGATAAAAAGTGTGGATAAAGTGGGCTGAGAAATATTCTTCTCTCTCACACACAGAACTAGAACTTGAGGCCATCCAACAAAGATGAAGAACAAACAACAAGAATAACTACTTCACACAGCCCACAGTTAAACTGAATGGAACCCAACTCCAACCAGATGGAGTGACAGCCACAAATCTGGATAGCTTTAAAGGGGGACCAGGCAAATTCATGGGGGGACAAGGCTATGTTCTCCTTCCACTGTTGCTGAGAATCACAAGTGGGTAGAGTGCTGCTATGCTCAGGTGCTGTTTGTGGACTTTTCCTAGGCATCTAGTTCATCATGGGGGGAACAAGATGCTGGACTAGATAGGCCTTTGGCCTGATCCAGGAGAAGGGGTCTTCTTGTGTTATAAGCACAAGACTTGCAACGAGTCCCTGGGAAGACCGTCTCACCGCAACCACAAGATGTGTAGAGTATAGACTGCAGTTATTCAGCGGTTGAGAAACCACACACTGCACCTTTCTTTAGATCAGGCTTTCCCAAACTTGGGTCTCCAGCGGTTGGACTACAACTCCCATCATCTCAAGCTAGTAGGACCAGCGGTCAGGGATGATGGGAATTGTAGTCCAAAAACAGCTGGAGACCCAAGTTTGCCTCCTCCCTCCCAAATGAGACACCCGGTAAGGAAAAATACCCCCTTTTTCTCGGTAACCAAGGAATCTGAATAGAACCCTGCTCCTTCTCCTATTTGCTTCTCGCAGGAGGGCCAGGATGGGGGTTGGGAATGAAGCAGGATTTGCCAATTCCTCTGCAAAGAGGGTCTTACACGGAGACCCTCTTTTCATCCTCTCCTACCTCCCGGCACCCTCCCTCATGAATGGCAGCTGGGATATTGTTAGCAGGAGTTGCAAGAGAGGGAGAAGAAGAATGAAAGAGCTCGTTTACGTAAGCAGCCCCTTCAGCTCTCTGCTTCGGGGGTTAAACCCTGGGCAATGCCTGACTCACGTAAAGCATTCCTATTTGCCAAGCTGGCAACAGATGCCATGCCTGAATATCCCATATATATATGTGCACAAACTCTCTTTTTAAGCGCACACACACACCTCTCTCCAATACACAACACCCTGACAAGAATAGCTTCTTTCTCTCCTCAGCTGGACCCGCTCCTACACAACTGAGAGCTATTTTGCGGCTGGGGAACCTGCAAATAGCCTTGGCACCCAGCGCCACACTTCCTGTCTAATGGGCAAAGAAACACCGTGTGCCGTAAGCTGACATGTCGCCGTTTGTGCGGCTGTCAAAGCGGAAGTTATCGCATCTAGTGGGCCAAATGAGAGAGGCTGAGGTTCGGCCTGACACCCTCTTGCTTCCACCGCCGCTAAGAAACGTCCTGTTTAATCAAAGCATGGGGTTCAGAGGGGGGAAGTGGGGGCTTATTCTCACAGGCAGGAAGGCCAAACTCACAGCGTTTCAAAGTACTGGGGCATCTTCCAGCACTATTGCAAAAGGAACAGCTGGTGGAAACGCACATTTGACAGGCACAATGGATGCCTTTCAAGAATGGAAAGCAATGGTGTGGGCTCCCCATCCATCCCTTCTTCTTTTCCTTCCCTCAAAAACTTCCACTTCAACAGCTTTGTTTCCAGCAGCTTTGTTTCCAAGAGGTACTCTGTGTCAAAGACAGCCAAGCTCAGAAAAAAACAAACCTGTAGCCCGAGGCCTGTGAGACAGTCTGGGAGCAGCTGTCATAACTGCAACAGCAGGACAAGTGAGAAAGCAAAGCCAAAGCTCCGGGGGGTGTCATGACACAAGGGGGCAATTCCTGGTTGAAGCCTAAGGGCCCCTTCAGACAACCTGTTGACTGAACTTTCATCCAGATCTGCTTGCAAAAAGCTTTATGCAGAGGTTAGGCCACAGCAACACCACAGGTCCTTGTGTCCCTATTTTCCAGCGACAGTCCCAGATTTACAGAAGCCGTCCCGGTTTCCCGTTTGATCCCAGAATGTCCCACTTTTCCTTAGGACGTCCCTGTTTTCATTGGAGAAATATTGCAGGGTATGGAGTTATGAGAACCCCGATCCAAGGAGATAAGTAACTATACAACCTTTAGAAGACATCTGAAGGCAGCCCTGCAGAGGATTTTTTTAAAAAATGTTTAATGTTTTGTTATGTTTTTATATATGTTGGAAGCTGCCCCGACTGGCTGGGACAACCCAGTTAGATAGTAGTAATAGTAGTAGTAGTAGTAATAATAGTAATAGTAATAATAATAATAATAATAATAATAATAATACTAATAATTTATTTATACCCTGCCCATCTGGCTGAGTTTCCCCAGCCACTCTGGGTGGCTCCCAATCGAGTGTTAAAAACAATACAGCATTAAATATTAAAAACCTCACTAAACAGGGCTGCCTTCAGATATCTTTTAAAAATAGGATAGCTGCCTTTTCCTTGACATCTGATGGGAGGGTGTTCCACAGGGTGGGTGCCACTACAA